CCCCCCCCTGGCCATCATCACGACTACTTTTGGATCGCCGCACATGTCGTATCTCAAGTCGTTCTCGCGCATTCTTCGGGGCTCACTCTCCACGACCCCTGGCGGCGTGTCGGGCACGCCCGGGTCATTCCACCTGCCGTTGCGCAAGCTCGTGCTGCGCTACTCTCAACACAACCCCTCCTCGGCGGGCACACGAGCGTTCCTGCTCTCATCGACATTTCTTCAGCTTTCGAAAAAGTACCCCTCGGTGGAGTTCGTGGTGACCGAAGCAGGGAACGCCAAGCATCCGCTCGTGACGGGATTCTATGCCGACAACAGCGCGGCGGCATTCAGGAGCGACAAGAGGAAGGATATCAGTCTGGCCAATTTGGATGCAGGACAGGTCGGCGCCAAGGTGCAAAGGGTCGTAGAGGCAAGTGGCGACAAGACCAAGAGTCTGAAGAGGAGAACGACGCTGTCGAGGAACGAAAGTGCAAGAGGCGTCTGGTCACAGCTGCACGATAGGAAGGTGGATATCTAACAAGCATAACGAGCAACAACGCAGCAACGCAACGCAGCAAGATGGTAGGGCCGAAGATGTGGCAATGTAGCAGTACCAGAGTTGTGGCGCGTGTGGGTGTGCATGGCTGGGTGGGAGAAGGGTGAGTGGCGCATGAAGGTGGGCGCGTGGCGTAGGCCCCTTTTGCTCGCAGAGCTCGCAGGCTTGACTTGTCCCACCGAGGCATTTGTGGGTAGTAGGACAACTTCTCCCGCCTAGGAGACTCTGGTCGGAAAGCATGAAAGCGGGTGCTTCTTCGGCCCTCGCTCGTCTTTCTCCCCATCACTCGACCATGCGTCTGCCTGTCCTCTTCAGTCTGCTTTCGCTTGCTACTTGGGCAGCATCTTCTCCAGCAGGAGGCGGTGCGGTCGAAGAACTAGGCGGTGCAGTTGAGCAAGCCGCCACGTCGGCATCGCCCGCAGCATGGCGACCCGAACTCGAGGACCTATCCTCCATCGTATCGCCCGGTCGAGCAGCGTGGCGCGAGTACCTCGCAACACTCTCTACACATCCCCCGCCGCCTCTCCGCTACGCCACGCGCGCGGAGCTGGCCGACATCCAACACGCGCGGTTCGTCGAGCATCCCTCGGTTGCTAAACTAGGCATCGTTGGTCCCGGACACGCGTTTATCGGTCAAACCCCCAAGGGAAGACTCGTGTTCAAGGCACCCGATCTCCATGGCATCACAATGTACGTGCCCGCCAAGGGACACATCATGGCGGACCAGCTCGTGGCAAGGAAAAAGGGCGGCTGGGTCGAGGTGATCAATTGGGGACCGGTAAACACTCACGGCTTCGCTCCGGAAGACTTGCACGACATGGCCATCAAGACCAACAGGGGCTATCTGGTCAGAGACAAGGTGCCCATGAACAGGGTCGCGTGGACAAGGCAGCAGGGCGACAGGTGGGATACGCCCACTTCCAGCTGATCCTCCCCACAAAGAGTGATGGCGCCCGCATGCACGGTACCCCCTCGGTTTCTGGCGTGGGCTCGATGCCACCGTATCCTAGCATGCATCCAGCAGCTTTGTTGAAGATTCCTCTGAGGCAGTGGGCGAATGAAAGCTTTCAGCCAGACCCAGTGACAAGCTCGTCCTTCATCTCGTGGCGATCGGATACAGCGGGAAAGCTTCTTGACTCGCCGTATCGATCGTCGAGCTCTCATGTGTCGTATCAAGTGTTGGCACGTGCAAGGCTGTACAGATGCCCGACTTGTGGCTCGTCTTCTGGCTTCTTTGAGCACTGCAAGTGGCGTCGAAGCTGTCGCTTGCGTTTGACATCTGCACCTCCTCGCTTGGAGGTGCGCAAAAGCAAGCAGGTGCACCAAACTCCTTCTCTCCTCGTCTTCGGCGGTCAGTCTGAGCAACCAGGAACAGCTGCGAGCCTCGTCTCGGCCCGCTGTATCTCGTTCGGGTGGTCGCTCCTAGCGGGTCGAGGTCGAGATCGATCTCATTCTCGTGTCTGTCGAGTCTGGAGTGATGCTTCGAAAATGCGTCTGAGCTTGCACCCCATTCTCCGGCCTGACCACGTGCAGGCTGTCCTCGACCAAGCTAGAGGCGGCTTGGTGGTCGAGACCAGTGAAATCGAAGCGGCCGCTCATACCACCGCAAACGCTCGCTAACCTCTCGTCATCACGATGTTTAGATTCGATTCGAGTGGGAACAATAAAACCATGACGACGCGACCTTGACAGCGCACTCGGACCGCTGAACGCAGCAACTCGACCCTTTTGACGATGCCTAACCAAAACAGCCGAGACAGCCTTTCTTCTTGCTCCTCGTGCCCTGCTTGGACAACCTTCCTACCTGCCTGCTCGCGCCCTGCGCCGAGGATTCGCCCACCTCCTGCATGCTTTTGCCCACCCACGGGCTTTGTTCGATCATCTCGCGCAGCGATGACCTGTCCCGAGCCACTGCCTCGTTCTGGCCCACACGCGGGTAGGCAGAAACGGGAAGCGGCTCATCGCGGGGAGGAAGGGCGGTCCAGAGGTCAAAGAAGCCTTGAGCTCGAGGGAAAGCAACCGGATCAACATTGGCTACTCGAGGCGGATGCCCGACGCCACTCCAAACCTGCACATGGTCAGCTCGTTTTTTTTTTGGGAGATACAGAGAAGGGAAAGGGGGGAAATGCGGGACTTACTACGTCGACGCCTTCGATGACCGGCTCGATCTCCATCCCCACTACCACGCCCACAACTAGCAAGGAAAATAGGATGCGCATCGTGGGTGAGGACAAAAGGGATTGCTGCAGGGAAGAAGCGGTTTATATAGTGCAGTGCGGGTCGGCGCATCGTGCACCGGTCAATGTGCGATAATTAAGACGACCGCGTGTTGACATGCCTCTTGCCCCGCGTTGTCGTTTGTATCGCGTCAAGGTCGACTCGTCGTGACACAGCCCGCAACACCCGTCATCTAAGACGATTCCAACGACCGCTTCTTGCGCCGTCGGCACCTCAACCATCCTTCGCCAGCAGTACACACACGCAACCGATGCTGGTTGAACAGAATGCATTATGAAGTGTGGTAAAACCGGAACATTCGCCGGTGAAATCTAGTCGGCCGGTCTCGCGCATCGCACCAAGGGAAAGAGAGGGTTGACCTATCTCGTGACTGTCTGGGAGCTGTTTGTACGCAAATAACAAAGGTCAGTCTCCATGTGCCAACCGCAATCCACGCATGGCTACTTACTAGTCGTACTTGCTGAAGAACTTTTCCGAGTCGGTAGTTTCGTTCTGCCTGTTTGCGCCTCGCTTCCTGCCCCTCTTCGCCTCCTCATCGGCCCTCACCACCTTGTCCTCCCTCAACCACGCGAGCGAAACATTGAGCAGCGGGGAGAGGTCGCGGTCCTTGTCGGCGCTCGCGGTGGGAGGCAGTGCCGCCACATCGGCGGGGTTGGTAGCGGGCCAGTCGATAGGCAGGGTGGTGGTGGTAGTTCCGAGCCGCATGTGCGCCAGATGCGTGGGGAACGACTGGAGACCGTCAAAGATGTGCGTGGCATAGATGATCGTTGCGCCCCTCTCCTCGGTTTCGAGCTGGAGGAAGTCGAGCAGATCGGCGCGAACCTGCACGTCCAGATCCACCGTCACCTCGTCCAGCAACAGCAAGTCCCAGGGCTCCATGAGGCCCATGCACAGCTGGACACGACGACGCTCGCCGTCGGAAATGGCATGCATGTGCCAGGTGAGATCGACGTCCAGAATATCGAGCAGCCGATCGCGGCGCTCCTTGTGGCGGTATCCGCCCACCGAGTCGAGGAAGGTGGACACGACAATGTCCGAGCGCACCACGGGGTTCATGGCCCACTCGGTGCCGAGGTAGGTGACGCCCGAGGGACTCTCGCGGAAGACGTCCTTGCCAAAGACGCGCACCTTGGAGTCGCACAGCTTCTTGCCCGCCAGCAGCCGCAGCAGCGTCGACTTGCCTGCACCGTTGGCGCCGATGAGCAAGCAGCGCGAGCCGCGCTTGAGGTGCAGGTTGCAGCGCTCGAGCGACGGCGGCAGGTGCGGATAGAAGCTGAACGTCAAGTCGGAAACCTGCACCGCCAGCGTCTCGCCCTCGGCGAGCGCGATCGACTTGGAGGCTGCATTGTCGATGATGCCTCCCTCTGCCGTGCTGACGGGACCTTGGGGCTTGTTCCAGTCCCAGTATCCCGATCCGTTGGAAGCGAGGTTGCTTGCCAGGCGCACCGCTTCGGACAGCACCGCCTCTCCGGCTGCGTCGACGTTGGAGGCGTCGCAGTCGACAAAGCTGACGAGCTCTGCACCTGCGGCGCTGATGAAGCCATCCTCGACAGCGAGCTGGATCTGCTGCTTTAAGGGCGAGTAGAAGCCGTTGACGTTGAGTAGCACCATGGGTTTGCGGTGGATGCCGAGCTGGGTCCAGGTGACCATCTCCATGACCTCCTCAAACGTGCCGTATCCGCCGGGCAGGCCGATGAAGCCGAGGTTGCTCTCTGCAGCCATGCGCTGCTTCCTCTCGTGCATGGACTGCACCACCACCGTCTCCACATGGCCGGTGCCGGCGTCGGGGTTGAGGACGGTAGGGCCCGTGCCTTCTTTCGAAACGACGGTGTTGAGTTTCTGGCCCGGGTGGCCCGAGGGAACGGTTGTGGCCATGACCTGCGGAATGACGCCAAGCACGTGTCCGCCGGCCTCAAATACGGCCTGGGAGACGCCGCTCATGCAGCCGCGAGAGCCGCCGCCGTAGACGAGGCGATAGTTGCGCTTGGCGATCGCATGACCGACGCTAGCTGCAGCGGCCATGTACTCGGGCTTGGTGCCGGGCGACGAGCCGCAAAAGACGCATATCGAGTCGGTGTATGCGGGCATCTTGAGCAGCCTTGGTTGATGCTGGATGCTCGTGGGATGAAGTTGGTGGTTGTTGGTTGGTGAGGAGGAGAAGGAGGGGTCGATGAGAGTGTGGGGAACGAGAGGCGAGTGCGAGTCATGGATTGGCTGAGCCTGCAGCTCTGAGAGCCTTCTTCCGACACTCGGATGGCCCGGATTTTTGACCGGACGCTCCGACGGCTGCTCTGACGCACGTTGCCTGCAGTCGACCTTAGCCAAGCACAACTCCACACGAATAATGTCGACTTGCGGCGCCCTAACATCAGTCTCATCAGCGTTTTTCGGCGAAAAGCCCGGAGCAGCCGCCGAAGCCGGAGCGCTGTCCTGGTCTGTGCTTGGCCACCGCAGCCTTGTCCGTGGCCCACGATAGACGAGGACGAGCCGCTTGGCTCGCAACCCCATCTTGGGATCGATCGTGCGCCTGCAACAATGTCGCCAGCTAGTATCTCGAGCGGTGCTGCTTCGGCCACTGTCACCGCAGCGTCACGGCTGCGTGCGCTGGGTTACGACCCCGACGAGCTGCTGCAGCACTACCGCGACCACGGCTACATCATCCTCGACGGTCTTCTCGCCTCGGACACCTCCTCGCCCTTGCATCTAGACTCGCTGCGCCGCCTAGCAGATACGGCGACGCAGATCACGCGCGATGGAAAGTGGCCGCATCGCCGCATCGTCGGCAACGCCTTCCCGCCCTTTACGCAGAACAACCGCGACAGCTGGGGCGTGCAGCACATCATGAACCCGCAGCTGGACACCGCCGCCTCCGCATCGGCTGCATCGATATCGAGTGTCTTTCAGCAGTTCTATGCGAGCTCACCGCTCCTTGACGTGGCGTCTCTGCTCATCGGCTGCCAAGTCGAGGCAATGCAGATGGAGCTATTCAACCTACTCGTCAACCCGGCTTCTCACCGCTTTGCGCTCGGTTGGCATCGGGATGACATTCGTCCGGACGTATCGGAGCAGGAGGAAGAGCAGCGTCTTGAAACACCCACGTATGGTGTGCAGTTCAATACCGCGCTCTGGGACGACGACTGTCTGTTCATCGTGCCGGGCACCCACCGTAGAATGCGCACTGCTGCCGAGGTGGTAGCCAACAATGCCAAAGCCCCACCTGCTGTTCAGGTCGACAGCGAAGGTGAGGTGGACAAGACGTTCGGTGAGGATGGCGCGTGGAACGGTGTGGACCCACCCAACACGATGCGCGTCAGGCTCAAGCCAGGACAGACGGCGTTCTACTCGCAGCGCATCCTGCACAGGGCGAGCTACCTGCCCACCGCAAAGAGGGCCACACTACACGGATGCTACGGCGACGCCTCGTCGGGAACAGGCGCAGCCGAACGCGCCAGGAATGTGCTTCAACACGGCGTCGAGTGGATGCGCGATGCCCAATTTGGAGACAGTTTGCCGCCAGTGCTCAAACCCAGTAAGTCCCTAGCCGCGTCTTCGTCGAGAAGTGGAACCATACTGACACAGACTGGAAGCACAGTGTGGGACAACTTACTCCGCATGGATGCAGCGTATGCAGACAAGCAGCTCGGCTTCTCGCTGGATAACAATTAGAGCACCGTGCAAGCTTGTCATACGGCAGTAGTGGCGTGTGCGCGTGAATGTGCCCAACTTCAGGGTCCAGTGCGCACTGTGTTTTTGGCGCAGGTGTCCACTTTGTCGCGCACGTCTGCACCTCTCGCAACCTTGCTCTGCACTACCACCTTCCCTTTCCTCAAGGCGTCTGCAAAGATGAGCCAGTGTCCGCTGGGCTTCACAGGAACGCCCCCACCGGGTCATCCCAAGGTGGCAGGTCTCGACGCCAAGGCTTCCGAGGCAGACACGCGCGACAGGCACTGGAATCCCTGGCTCCTCCTCGCCATCGACGCGCTCTTCATCCTCGCCGCCATCTACGTCGCCAGAAACGGCGTGCCCAGAGCGATAGCCGATCCCATCGCCAACGTGTGGCGAAAGGTACCCAAGCCAGCCGCCAAGACCGAATGACAACCTCGACACAAAACATGCATCGAGCCCAGCCTCGAGATACCTGGACGGCCGCAGCGGTCCAAGCGATGTCCAGCGCACTACGCGCACTACCGCAGCAGCAGTGTCAGCTGCAAAACATGTGACGGTACAAATGTACAGTTTCTTCCAGCCCATCCTTTCGATCAATGGACTGCCCATGTCGAGGAGTAGCCGAGGCCGAGATTGCGGTGTCGACATCGGGCGGCGATCGCACGCGATTTCCAAGTCGACGTGGCAGAAATGCGTGAATTTAAGGCGTTCTGCGCTGAAATTAGCCGAACGGCGTTCCAAAGCACAGTGTGCCAAATGCCGGTTGGGATGCACCGCTCCCAAGTGTTGGTCTCTGCTGCGCAACCACCACGAACTGCCGACGAGCTCACGATGACGCTGTTCCAGCTCGGCCTGTGTGCAGGCTCCATCTACACCACGTTCTTAATATGGGGTCTGCTCCAAGAACGACTCACAAAGACGCCCTACACGGCGGCCGCCACGCTGCTCCATCCTAATCCTCAGCCCGAGTACTTTCGCTCGCCGCTCTTCCTCAACACGGTGCAGGCGATCCTGTCGTCGATCGTCGCGTGCGTCTATCTGCTCCTGCGAAACCGCGGATTCAACAAGCCTGTCGCACACATCCTTGGCCTGCACACTCTCACACCCAACGGCATCCCGCAACCATCGACCAAGCCCGACACCAATGGTGCGGCGAATGGCAATGCTGCCACTTCGTCTCGCTGGATCTCGCCGCTGCTCAAGCGATACGTGGCCATTGCGGCACTGCAGAGCACCGCTTCGCAGCTCGGTTTCCTCAGCCTGCGCTACATCTCGTATCCCACGCTCACGCTCGCCAAGTCGTGCAAGCTCGTGCCCGTGCTCATCATGAACGTCGTCCTCTACCGCCGCAAGTTCGCCGCATACAAGTATGCCGTCGTCGGACTCGTCACGCTCGGCATCTGGCTCTTTATGGCTTTCGCACCTTCCAAGCCAGGCAAGAAAGCAAAGGGTCCCGAGAGCAGCAGTCTGGTCGGTCTCTTGCTGTGTCTGCTCAATCTCGTTCTCGACGGCGCCACCAACAGCACCCAGGACGAAGTGTTCTCCCGATTCGGCCGCAAGACCGTCTCGGCGGGCCAGATGATGCTCGTCATGAACGCCATCTCTGCCGTGCTTATGGCGCTCACCCTCACAGTGCCCTCGCCGTTTTCCACCGGCGAGCCGAACCAGCTCACGGCTGCACTCGCATTTGCGCACAAGCATCCCGAGGTCTGGCGCGACATTGTGGCATATGCGGTGGCAGGCGCCGTAGGACAGGTATCCATCTTCGAAACGCTCGAGCGATTCGGAAGCCTAACACTCGTCTCGATCACCGTCACGCGCAAGCTCTTCACCATGCTCCTCTCGGTGCTCGTGTACAAGCACGAGCTCAGCAGCCTCCAGTGGGTCGGTGTCGCCGTCGTCTTTGCCGGCATCGGCATCGAGGCTCGCGAAAAAAGGAGGGAAGGTCTAGCGAAGAAGGTGGTCAATGACCAAAAGAAGGCGCTGCAGAAGGATGCCTAGCTGCCGCATTCATGCATCAATGTTGTTCCCTGAAACTTTTGCGTTGCTGTGTGGTGGTGGTCGTAATCTTGGCTCAAATCATTGCCATTCCTGTAGGGCGACGCTTCGACAATATTCATGCTGCACTGCACCTCCCGACCGACTCTCGTTCCGTGTGCATTTGATTGCCCCAGCTTCGTCGAACAGGCACTGCTGTGCTGCTTTGGCTCGCAAAGAAGAAGGGATTCCGTTTCAAGCCACATGCAAGCCCGAGGAGTTGAGATGCTCGGTCAATGCGCATGTTGCTCGTGCGATGCATACACGTCGCTCCCAATCGCTCGTGCGGCTTCCGCCGCCTCGTCCTCATCGACATCAAAAACGTCGGTCCACGCAAGCTGCGCCTCGTCGCCCTCCTTGCCCTTCCATTTGGCGCTAAACTTGGTCGGCTCCACTTGAGACACGGTACATGCGCGGTAGAATGCCCCGGCCGCCAGAACGGGCGCCTCAAACGTGACGCATATAGAGTCCCTCAGACTATGAAAAGAATCAAAGATGGAACGCGTCAGTGTGTCGTTGGCTCATTCGTTGCGAGCTGTGGAGCTTACCTGTCGTTGAGCGTCGTCCACGCTAATCGGACGAGCCAAGTGTCGACACCCAGACGGCTACATGCCTTGACCAGGATCTCGTGCGGGTGCTCGACAATAAGGTCAAAGCATAGCGTCTCGAGTAGCTCTTCCTCGTTGACCAGAATCGTGTCGCGCCAGCGTCCGAACTCCTATGCGTACCAAGATGCGGCCGAGTCAGTTCTCGTGGTCCGAGTGGCACGCCAGCTCGCAGGTACTTACCTTGCTCGCTGGATCGGCTCGGAACGAGCGTTCCATCCACCTCTGCTGCCCAGCTGGGCTCTTGTCGAACGACGCCATGGCGGCATCGATGATGCTCGGCAGCTTGCGGTGCGACTCCTCGACCTTGCATGCCAGAAACACGCATGCGGCAGCCACCTCGTAGTGCGAATACCCGGCATTGCCGTTCTGCAGCGATTTGCGCATAAAGAAGCGGTGCAGATAGATGCAGGCGGTGTTCATGACGTGCTGACTGAGCCGGAGGTACTCGCCCATACGGTAGATCGCATGGACACCCTTGCAGCGTCGATGCTTCTCCTCCGCAGGATCCAGTCCGCCGAGGACAGAGGGTGTGAGAAGAAGATCCGAAGGCGTGAAGAGCCATTGGGAGTCCGCAGCGCTGAGGGCGGCGCGCGTGCTGGTGGAAGCTGTCATGTTGGCATCATCGTCGACAGGTGGTGTGCAGCTTCCAACGACGGCCAAGATGGCACGCAGTGTCAAGTGTCGGACGTCACCTTTTTTTTTTTCCCGGAAGCCGGAAATCGCACGGGCGCACAGCAGCTACCAAGCCGACACTCATCAAAATTCGAGCTGTGCTCTGCACCGGTGACCGGTCCACACGACGGAGCAGCTGATTGCATCACAACAAACCAGACGACCTCTCCAGCAAGGGCTAATCGCTAAGACTACGCCAAGACGGGGTATATTACGGAGGCGCAGGTGCGTCGTGGGACCCGCACCGCGGCCTCATGCGAGGAAATGCTGAGATCTGCGGAAAAAAAATCAAGTGGCTATGGATGTGGTTGGACGCGGGCTGTGAGGCTCGCTATGCTTGTGACCAGTGCGATTTGGGGATCAGGATGCAGGTTTGCCACCCACCCAGCCCTCGCCCGCTTCGAGCAAATTGACCATGCCCGTGAAAAGTGCTGTGGTGGTGGGGCCCAAAAAGCCGGCACGCAGCTCCTTGGCCTCCTCTTCGTGTGGGAGGGCCGCCGCCTCCGCATGGACGCTCGGCCCGTCTTGCGAGGCTGGATCGCGACGCTCGGCGGCGCGACGTGCGATGCGGGCGTCGCGCGCACGAACGTAGCGCATGCGAGCGTGCTCGTCGGAGCCAGGCGTGTTGGCATCCGCCTCGGCCTGCAAGCCGAATCCGTGATCGCCACGAGCCGAGTCGTTGTCGTCGTCGCTCGAGTCGTAGTCGGACGACTGCGCGCGCATGTCCTCAAACCACTGGCCGAACTCCTTTCGATCGTAGTCCTCTGGATTCTGCATGGCTTGGTCGATGGCCAACGGGATGCTGAGCGTGACGCGTGCTAGCTGTAGGGTCAAGCGGAGACGCCCCGGGATGTCAAAGTACGACAATCCGCGCAAGTCCTGCTGAATCTCGTAGAGGCGCGACATCTCGTTGAGCAGCACGCGCGAATATCTGCGCGTGGCACGCATGAGGCGCGAGAGCACGCGGAACTTGGCTTCGATGCTGCTGATGTTGGCATCGCTGTAGGTGCCCAGCCCACTATCGGCGAGGACCTTGAGCAGCGCCTTGACGGATGTAAAGTCGCCCTCAAAAAATTCGACATAGACGGTGAAGAGCACGTCTTGTAGGGTAGCATCTGCGAAAGCCTCGCCGAACTCATCGTCAAAGGCATCGTGCGGAGATTTGCCCTTGAACATTGAATGGGTGTGAGGCGAAAAGTCGTACGCCTGCCGAGACGCCGGCTTGGAAAGCGTCTCGTAGGCAAACGCGAGCTTCTGGAACGCGATGGTGGAGTCGGGATAGTCCGGGAACTTGTCCGGGTGGCAAGATCTGCTTCTTGTGAGAAAGGCACGACGGATATCCTCGTTCTTGGCGGTGCTCGCGATGCCGAGCACCTTATAGAGATTCTCCTCGGCGATGATCTCCTCGATTACCTTGACCTTGCTCTGGAAAGTGTCGGCGTCCGACGGCTCGCCTGGAATTTCGGAGGCATCGTCGGTCGCAAGCTCGCCGTCCAAGTCGTTGGGTTTGAGACTGCCGTTGCGGGACGCTGGACGCCTGGGACGATTGAGCTTGCCTACGGGAGCCCTTCTGGACTCCTCGCTTACGGCGGCGCGGTAGAATATTGACGAGATGAAAGACATCTTGTGTCGCTGGCCGGGAGAGGATGGGGTGCCAGAAGGGCTTGCAGTGTGTTGCCGAGACGTGGTTGCAGCGTAAGCCAATGGGTGCGCGCGCTTATCGTTGCAAAGGCATCTTGTGGCGGCAATGCGGGGGAGAGCAGGTCTGGCAGACCAGAAAGTTGCTTTGGGGCGATCCAAGTCGATCCAACTTGAGACGGGTGCGAAGAAGACTGGACTGCTGCAGTGAATGCGGCGTACGGACGACCGAAGTTCGAGATGAGGAGTGGGGATGATGGTTTGCGATTGTTTGGGTGCATGCGGCTGGACGTTTCGGCGGTGGATTCCAGGTGCCTGTCGGTGTGAATCTGAGTGAGGGAGACCCTCGCAGCTGCACACCGAGCCCTCCTGCAGCTGCTGCTGCCGCTGGGAACAACACCTCTTCGGGCGTGAAAAAGTGGAAATTCTGGCGAATTTCCAGTTCAACACCTCGAGAGGCCGCCGCCGCCATGCGTCTCAGCGAGACAAACAACACTCACTCGGTTCTCCCCGTCTCCCCAAAAGCCCACTTTTCTTTCACGAGCTACACAACGCGTGCTCTGCTGCATGCAGCGCTATCGCGAATCCACTCGGCTTCAAAATGTGCTTTTCGTTCGATCTGACAATTCCAAGTCCCGCGCACCGCGGCAACTGACTGCTCTCGATGACGTTTTGCATACTTCGCTCCTCCTGATCACCATCAGACACTCATGTGCGCAGGACGATAGAGAACGAAACCGGCGTGACTTCCCCTTGGCTCGTGGCAGTGCTCGCTTGACGGCCGATGGCACCCATACACGCCAAGTGAGCATCAGAACAACATGGCATCCGAGCCACAATTGCATCTATTCCGAGCGTCACGAAGAACAGCCCGAGCATCGTGACAGCAATCGACCATCGTCAGCGCAGGCCAAAGCACCTGTGCCAATCGCTCCCGCGCGCTGCAAAGTCCCACGATGATGCTGAACTCGCTCGCCACGCTCGAGCAGCTGGAGCTCACGCCCTCCATGAACGACGGCCTGCCCCACCATCTCGAGATGGAGCTCCGCGCCCTGGGCTGTCAGATCATCCAACAGACCGGAGTGCTTCTCCATCTTCCTCAGAGGACTGCAGCCGTCGCCCAAGTCTTCTTTCACCGCTTCTGGTATATCTCTTCCATGGCTGACTTTTCCGCCAACGAGATCGCACTGGGTTGCCTACTGCTGTCAACAAAGCTCGAGGAGACGCAAGTCCTATTCAGGCACCTTGTCAACGCCTTTCACTCTGCCATGTTTCACTTGCAAGATCGCGTCCCTCCCGAAGATCGAGGGCGTGTCGCGAAGGCAGCGTCGTCGCAATCCTCGGCTCGCAAGTACCGCCCTCTGGCATACAACTCCGGCGACTACGAGCGTCTGCGCGAGTGCGCCATGGTGGCCGAAATGCAGATCCTCAAGCGTCTGGGTTTCAACGTTCAGGTCGTGCTGCCACACGCTCTTCTGCCCAACTATCTGCAAGCTCTTGGCCTCGCCAGCTCCGATCTCCAAATTAGCCCAAAGATACGTGCTCGTCGGCCGCCGGACAATGCCAAGCGAGGCGACACGGAGCCATCCTTGCAGCGCATGTCGTTCGCACAGTATGCTTGGTCCTTCCTCAACGATGCGTATGTACGGAAGCAACGATGTCAACAGCGCCCGACGTCTCGACAGCTCACAAATCTTGTCATCTTTTCTTCATCTGCAGCCTTCAGACGCCCGTGCTGTGTCTCTTTGGGCCGCACGTAGTAGCGTGTGCAGCCATTGCGCTGGCGGCCGATCTGTGCGTGCCGCGCGTCAAGCTACCCGTGGATCCGGCGCCATGGTGGCTCGTCTTTGACGCATCGGAGCCCGAGATCAGAATCGCCTGCTCGCATGTGCTCTGGCGCTACCACCATCGTTCATCGTTGGCCACCGCTCCGCTGCTTCTCGATAGGCAAGTGCTGCGAGAACACGTCGTCGCGCTCAGTGCCGATGCAGAAGCCGATCCGGTGGAAGTCGCTGCCCGATCAGGGCCGGCGACTTGATCCTGTGCGTATGCAGAGACAAGGGATGTTGGAAATGCTTTACGATTCATGTACGCGAGTGTTGTCAAGCTGTGTGTGGATGATTTCGAAAAGAGGACGACGTCCGAGGACCCGAGGCGAGACGAGGGAAACTCGAGGCTGGCGCTCGGCTTCACTCCGAGTCTTCTTCCGACGACTCGTCCTTGTCCGATGCGGCGGCGTTGTCAGCCTTGGCCTTGGCCTTCTCCTCCTTTGCAGTCTTGGCGGCGGCAACGACCGACTTCGGGTCCGAGACGTGGTTGCCGTCCTTGGCAGCCGCGACGCCGTGCTTGAAGGTGGTGTCGTCGGCGGGCAGCGAGCGCTCGCGCTTGACCTTGGCCTGCTTCTCGAACGCGTGCTCGTCGGCGATCTTCTTGGAGTCGAGGTGCTTGTCGCCCTCGGGAGCGTCGTGGCGCATCTCGGGCCTCTTTACCTCGACGAAGCCCTCGGGATGCTCGATGCTGCCGTCGGGAAGCTCCTGGGGCTCCTTGGGTTCGGACTCTGCCTCCTCCTCGTCGTCGTGCTCCTCCTCGGCGTCGTGTTTTGCGCCGTGGCCGTGGTGGTCATCGCCCTTGGCGCCAGGTGCGGTGAGGTAGACAAAGAGACCGCCGAAGGTGAGCACGGACGCAATAGCCCACGGAGCATCCGACTTGGGTGGCAGAGGAAGCGGCGAGCTCGAGGCGTGTCGGCGCGCGGGAAGACGGGCGAGCGAGGATGCTGCGGTGGAGCGGGCCAGCGGTCTGGCGGATCTGGAGATGGTCCTGGCAATCATGACGGGCGGATCTTTTCTTGGATGGGCGAAGAAGCGTCGGGCTGTGATGGTGGATCGACAAGGAGCGTGCGGAGGTCGGCCGTCGAGTGAGCTCCCTCTCACGGCTCCTCCTCCGCACGCTGGGCGGCGCAGATCGCTCGACGGATCGAGCGGACAGCGGGTCTCGAAGAACTCGAACTGCCACGAGCCCGAATCGACCCTTTGGGCGCCTGGTGACGCAGCTGCTCCGTGCCGATGGGCGCAATTCTCGACCCATCTCACCTTTTTCTCTGCCTCTGCCTCTGCCTCTCTCTTCCTGCGACTGTGCCTGGCCGCTTCCAGATCGGGAGTTGCCGTTTCTTCTTTTTCGGAAAAGGCAAACCTCCACCCCGTGGACTCGCTCTTCACGACAATCTTACATGGTGCTGCAAATGCCTGCCATGGCGTAATCTCGCGCTGCATCAGAAATCGATGAGATCGCCGCTTGAAAAATGAGAGTCATTGTTAGACCATAAGATGTCAAAGAACTCACTCGCACGTGAAGCTGTGGACTACCTTCACCGGGTCGAAACGGAGAGAATGAACAGCTGCACCAAGGCTTCCCTTCTCCGCAGCACAGTCCCAACTCCAAACACATCCATGCACATTCTCACAGTATTTTGCAGCAAGCAGAGTTGCGACAGGACTATCAGGTGCTCGAGCCAGCGAGCCAGATCAGGCCTGGGCTGGCGTGTATGGATGGAGCTTTCTTGCTGGAAAGTGGAAGGCAAGACCGGTCGTTGGCGGGCAAAGGCGATCCGTGCCGGATCCGCGATGCCAGGGCGATGCCAGGCGCTGCCCTCGATTCGTCCGGCTCGCCAGGTTGTGTGGGCAAGGAACTCGCCGGGTGCTTGAGGAACGTGCGCTGTTCTTCTTGCGGTGGAAGCATTTGTAGCAGGGAGGCAGCGTCCATTTGAAGACGCCACTTCAACTTTTGTTGGTGGTTGTTGAAAAGGGCTCTTGGAAAAAGTGACCGTCTGGAATCTTTTGTATTCGAAAGGGTTGAGGCAGTTCTTTTCTTTGAAATTTCTTCCAACAGCGTCGGGCAGTGGACCAGCCAGCTTTCCTATTCGTCGGACTGATCGGTGGTTGGGGGATGGGGTGCGATGAGTCTCTCATGTGCTCGCCTGCCTGCCTGGCTGTTTGCGCGCTCAGCGACGGCGCGGGTCGCCTTGGCCTGGCGCATCTTTTTCGCGCACAGCGGCTGGCACGCCCGAGAAATCCTTGCGTCCGCCCACCCGCCCGCCTCGCCCTCGAGCTCGCCTCGCCTCGATTCTTCTGCTGGGGGCCGGACCAACGGCCGCTGGAAGAGCCAAGCCCCAAGCCCGAGTAGCAGTGCGATCACAGCGGTTTCGGAATCTTCCTCTGTGGCCAGGGCGGGCGAGCGACCAAGCGCGAGATCAGAGAGAGCGACCGCCCAGCGCCTCCTTCTCCCTTCCTCCCCTTCTCACTCCTCCCCGTCATCCATCTCCTTCACCCTACCCCATATCGACATCATGCCTGTCATCCAGCGCACCGCTGTGCGGGCTGCTAGCCGCACCGCTCTCCGAGCCCGACAGAACGCCGCCGCTCTCTCCACCGTCGCCCGCGCCGCTGTCAACGCTTCGTCCAGCGTCCGTGCCGCCGCCCCCAAGGTCGCCATCGCTGCCGTCAAGCCCGCCGTCCAGGGTAAGTCTTCTGCCGACACATCGACAAACCATGCACACGCTCGCCCGCACATCATCGGAGTACATTCAGCATCCTCGCGAACAAGGTCTCCCTGTGGCGTCGGAGAGGGAAAAAAGGCAGCTTCACGCACAGACATGCTTCCGCCGATCCATCCCAAGATCCCACTCCGTTGATTCGGCCGTGCAATGGCTCTGTCGACAGCGCATGCTCTCCTAGCCCGCCCACATCACAGCAGTCCATCGCAGTCGCCATTGTCAGCGACATGTGTTTTCGCCCTTCGCATCGCACCTACTTCCGATGGCTCTTTTCCGCTTCCCATTTCGGGTGCTGACCTCCTCGCAATTTTTTTCATCCGCTCTCTTCTTTGTCTCTAGCTCGCGGCCTTGCCACCGAGACCTCCCCCAAGGGCCAGACCGGTGCCGTCAAGACCGTCATCGGTCCCGTCGTCGACGTCCAGTTCGACACCGAGGAGCTCCCCTCCATCCTCAACGCCCTCGAGGTCCAGGATGTCCAGGGTGGCGGTCGTCTCGTTCTCGAGGTCGCCCAGCACCTCGGTGAGAACACCGTCCGTGCCATTGCCATGGAGGGTACCGAGGGTCTCGTCCGTGGCCAGAAGGTCGTCGACACTGGCCTCCCCATCCAGATCCCCGTCGGCCCCGGCACCCTTGGCCGCATCATGAACGTCATTGGCGAGCCCATGGACGAGCGCGGACCCATCAAGGGCAAGAAGCTCGCTCCCATCCACGTCGAGCCCCCCGCGTTCGTCGACCAGTCCACCAAGGCCGAGGTGCTCGAGACCGGTATCAAGGTCGTCGACCTCCTCGCCCCTTACGCCCGTGGTGGTAAGATTGGCCTCTTCGGTGGTGCCGGTGTCGGAAAGACCGTCTTCATCCAGGAGCTCATCAACAACGTCGCCAAGGCTCACGGTGGTTACTCCGTCTTCACCGGTGTCGGCGAGCGTACCCGTGAGGGTAACGATCTCTACCACGAGATGATCGAGACCGGTGTCATCAACCTCGAGGGTGACTCCAAGGTCGCGCTCGTCTTCGGTCAGATGAACGAGCCCCCTGGTGCCCGTGCCCGTGTCGCCCTTACCGGTCTCACCATCGCCGAGTACTTCCGTGACGAGGAGGGCCAGGACGTGCTTCTCTTCATCGACAACATCTTCCGCTTCACCCAGGCCGGTTCCGAGACCTCGGCTCTGCTCGGCCGTATTCCCTCGGCCGTCGGTTACCAGCCCACCCTGGCCACCGACATGGGTGTCATGCAGGAGCGCATCACCACCACCAAGAAGGGTTCCATCACCTCCGTCCAGGCCGTCTACGTGCCCGCCGATGACTTGACTGACCCTGCCCCCGCCACCACCTTCGCCCACTTGGACGCCACCACCGTGCTGTCCCGTGGTATCTCGGAGCTGGGTATCTACCCCGCCGTCGACCCCCTCGACTCCAAGTCGCGTATGCTTGACCCTGCCGTCGTTGGCCGTGAGCACTACGACACCGCCACCAGCGTCCAGAAGCTTCTCCAGGACTACAAGTCGCTCCAGGACATCATCGCCATTCTGGGTATGGACGAGCTCTCGGAAGAGGACAAGCTCACCGTCGAGCGCGCCCGTAAGATCCAGCGTTTCATGAGCCAGCCCTTCGCCGTCGCTCAGGTCTTCACCGGTCTCGAGGGCAAGCTCGTCTCGCTCAAGGACACCATCTCGGCCTGCAAGGAGATCCTCCGCGGTGACCACGACGCCCTCCCCGAGTCCGCCTTCTACATGTGCGGTGGCATCGACGACGTCAAGAAGAAGGCTGAGGAGATCGCCCGCAACATCTAAACATGCATTTGCGCCGCGCCCTTTGCCTCGGACGCATCCAAATCTTGATCTGGAAAAGCTCCATGCCCTTCGATGTCTGTCCAAATCTCCATTCCTCTCCCTAAACGAATAAAAGTTTGAGATCTTCCACCATCGGTGTATGACCTCTCGGGCGTACTCTCGGCGCGCGTCCATTGAGAATGCTGTGCGGCCCACGAGTGCATGACCGCCTTTCATGATTGAGCACACCGTCACGTCGAGCGTCGATCGTCATGCCTCAAATTGCATCGTACAAATCACGGCCCCTGATTCAGAAACCGACTCAGCTGCCTCGCCGGTTCGACGCCGATCAGCTCGCCGACTTCCTCTTCAGACATGTTGCACAGGTCCGAGATGTCGCGCACCTGGCTCATGACGTAGCGGAAGTTCTTGGTTGTGACTCCAGGCAAGGCGCGCAGCAAATCTTGAGGACCGAGGTTGTACGAGTGCTCGCTTGATGATTGCCATTCGGCACGCTTGACCGGATCACTGCCGCCGTTGCCCTCTGCTTCGAGCACGTCGTCGAGGCCGACAAGCGCAACCTTGCTCGCATCTGGTTCGTCAAAGTTTTGCTTCAGCTCCGCAAAGATATCCGAGGTGGCGAACGGCGAGCTGGACCAAATGATCCGCAGCCGTGGAAAGGAGGAGGTGAGCAGCACCAGCTTGGCCTGGATGTCGAGCTCTGAGCTAGTCGCGCGCCCGCCTGGCTTTGCGTCGCTGGTCGACTTGAGAGAGAAAGATTTGTCCTGGTCGAACTCGATCAACAAGATCGGGTGCTGATAGTGGACGCACATCAGCTCGCACTGCGTATACAGTCGTCCGGAGTTGAAGCTTTGCACCAGGTCGGTCAGACTCTTTCGTTCCACACACATTGTAGGCGTCAACACGTAGTCGCCCACCTGCAATGTGCACGGAATGACCTGGATATCCGCCGCGTGCAACATCGATGGCAGACTCGATCGAAACTCGCGCATATCGACGATGATGCGTGGAGGCTCTGCAGTGGCTGAACGCTGTCCTCCCGCTACGCGACTGCTGATGGTGCGCAAGAAACGCTGGTCGGCATCCTCTGCGATGGGTCGCCCGTCGGCCGAAAGTGGAAGCGCCATCATCGATTTCTCGCGAATGAGCCGTTCGAACGATTCCTTTTCCCTTCGGAGAGAGCTGAGATAACGCTGCTCCTCGACGGAATCCGCATATATGAGGAAGTAGACTCGAATCCCAACACCGGGATTGGTGCTGCGATAGACCTCGACTCGGCGAACGAAGGCTGGATCCGGGTCGTACATAATCACGAAGCGGGGTCGAAGCTCTTGCAGAACCTTGTCGTCCTGATCGCCTCGATACGAGCGCACCACAACCAGGTTCTCCATGCTCAGCATTCCGAAGAATGCATCAAACTCGACCTCATCGATATCGTCCGAGATTTGCTCCGAATCGATGGGTGCATCAGCCAGACCCGCTCTTGCTTCGTTGCTGTCTGCTGCTGAAGCCAGGCTGTGGCATGAGCAGGGCGGCGTCAAGAAGATTGGGCCATCAGGTCAGTATCGTCCTTACCCAAGCATCGAGATGCTTTGCAATGCTACTCACAATTCGGACACCTGCGCTGCTTCTGCCTGGAAAGAAGCTTGGCCGGAGGCGTCGGTGGCACTGCTGAAACGGCCCCCAGCGTGCGCAGCTGACGACCCGCCACGCTGCCGGCGCCGCTTGTTCGCATTGGACTGCTGGCCTTTCTGATATGCTAGCTTTCGCTTCAGTGCCTCGTTGATCGATCCGTCCGATGCCGTGGCTCGTTGTGCTGCAGATGAGTGGGCATTGCGAGAGTCTCCGCCGGGTTGGTTGGAGGCTCCTTGGTCGGACGACAGCTTGCCAAGACCGCCTTTCCATAAGAAATAAGAGCGCAGGAGCTGTCGAAGCAGTTTCTGTCCCGGTTCCCCAGGAGGGCATTCGTCCATGGTCGCTATGATCTGCCGCAACTGCATGCTCGTCCTCTCCGAACCACACATGATCAGAATTGTGTTGCCTGTCTCCGAGCCTGCATAGGAGAGAAGAGCGTCAGCAAGCGTGGTCGTCTGCAAAGGCCCGAGCCGGCATGGCCCTACCTGTTGAAGTGAAGTGGATCTCTTGCTCGACTTCGTCCAGCACTTCCTGTAGAAGCTGCCACTTGGGATTTTCCTCGAGAATGGGCTCCACTTCGGGCGGAATCGGGCCCAGAGCAGGAGCTTCGGATTGCGCTGCTGCTCCATGCTCGGCCTGCCGCAGTGCTTCCTCGTCATCGGCGTAATGAGCGTCGGATGCGTCATTGGCCTCTCTGCGACGAGCCTCATCCCAGATGTATGCCCTCTTCTTGGCTTCGTGAAAGATGACGTTGGCTGCATCCATGAAGAGCCAAGCCGATTGATTTTGACGAGCATTGCCCCTCAAGCTTGTCGTGTTTGAAGCCAGGATGGTCTCGAGATAGGAGTTGAACGTCACGCAATCGTACGTGAGGAGATAGCTGACCAAAATCATGCAACAGAGAAGGTGATGAAAGAGTGCGATAAGTCAGTAGACAATCCGGCACAGGTGAGCCACGTCGAAGCTCAACTTACTTGAGCAGATTGCGAAGGGTGGTCAAGTCGCCGACGAGCTGCTTTGTCTTGGCGCTGACTCGGTGCCATATCGGGTCGAGCTGTCTTCGCACCATGACGTCGAATGCGCGAAATATCGCATGTTCGATGGAAAAGTCGTCTGTCTCGACCTGTGTTGGAGTGTGAAGTGATCCATGTCAGTCCGTGTCCAGGGAGTCGCCCGGCTTGTGTTCTTAGAGTCTTTGCTTACATTGGCATTGCCTCGTTTGAGTTCCGATAGAGATGCATCGAGACACTCTATGATGGCCGTCTGGATGTTGCGCATCGATCGGCTCAGAGGCTGATGAAGTTCGATCACGTCAGCCTTGCGTTGGCCCAGGTCTTTGCTCGTTTGTTGGTGGAAGCGCGGCCACAGCTCGACTTTGCGGATTCTCAGCTGGCTTAGTACTGTTTGAAGCGGACTGATGCCCATGGTGAAGTGTTCTGGGTTGTCGGAGAAGGCTTTCATGAAGCCCTCTTTGTTCTCCTGGCGATAGATGCGTGCGATGAACGCTTCTACCGAGGTGGGCGTAACTTTCTCGGCGTGAAGCACGACCAATCCGGTGATGAGTGCAGTGGGGATCCTCTTGCTGAGCATGTCGACCACGAGGATGCGCGATGTGACGCTCATGATTCCGCCAGACAGGTACATCTCGGATCGTTGCTTGGCTGGCATCTCGTGGTGGATCGCACGGAGCCCTGGTTTGCGAATTCCGAGCGTGGTCAGCTCTTCTCCGATCCCGCTTTCCTCCTCGGACGTGGCATTGACGAGGATCACGAGACTGTTCGGAGAGTCGTATATGCGCAGCACCGTACTGACGATCCTACGCAGCCCGAGCCCTCGGGCAATGATGACTAGCGCGTCACCTTCGTCCGGACTGTCGTCCTCTGCTGGGACAAGCGAATTGACAATCTGGCAGTGGAACGGCAGCAACGCCGCGCGTTTCAGGATCTGGCGCTGGGAGGTCATGGTGTCCTTCCAGGAGCTACGTCCTGTCTGGAGGTGCAGCAGAGCATAGGATGGTGGTGGTCGTCGAGTCCGGTTGGCGAACAACTCAGCCAAGATGGCGTGCTGAATTCATGTGGAGGATCAGGGTCCTGCTTTTTCAGACCGCTCCGAGTTCCGCGTTGACTGCGACCCACCAACACACATGAACTTCCGTCTACCTTCAATGTATGCTGTTCCAGAACGACTTTCTGCTGCCTCGACATCGCCGGGCTTACTGGTCATCATTCATGATCCAAGGGTGCGAGCATGTGCAAGCTCTCCTCTATGCTCCACGCATGTTTCTGTGTGCATCGTGCACGACGACAAGACATGCGATTTGTGACCGCCCAAACTATGATTTCTGAGATCCGAGACCTCGACATTTATATCTCACTTTCATTCTTAAATTGATTATATCACACGGCTTGAAGGCAGACATGTGCCCATCACGGGCCCCCTCTCTTCGGCCTGTCAAGTGGTCCTGAATTTCAGTCTTAACCTCATGTTATTTAATCATGATTGACCTACAGCGTGTTAGTCAGGCCAAGCTAGCGCTCCATCCATGATTCTTGCAAGAAGTCAAAATCGTTCACTTACATCAGATGGCTGATACTGAATTACTTTGTAATTTCAAATTTGAACGAAGTGTGAAACGGTGCTTCTGAATCGTTTCATAATTTCGGGTGCCACCTTTTGGACAGGGTTTTAGTCATACTTCACAAAAACTTATCGTGCACTTAGCGCCCAAGCGTAATCGCACTTTTGAGACAGCACTCAAACGAACAGCAATGGGTTGCAGCGACAATGAATATCAAAGCTGGAATCCCAGCTTCGATCTCATGCTCTGGTAATTAAACTCACTCTAGGATTTTTGATGCAAAGCCAGATTCGGCCAAAGGTATATCCACTGTCTGGATGCTTCAGTTGTTGCTTAAATCATGCATCGCGCGGGCTTCAACTTCCAACCAGGACTCGGTGGCTTGCGGAAGGCTCGGAGCGTGCAAGCATCCGCTGTCAACTACTTTGCATGAATGGCGGACCTTCATGCTTGCAACCTTGACCCAGAGAAAACCACCTGCGAGGTCGTCGGGTGATCAACCATTCTACGGCAAACCGAATTGGCGAAGCATGAACAGCAGCCATGCAAGCGATCAGGCTGCCTGATGGGGTAGCAGAAAGCAAGCGTCGAAGCAGCCAGTCACCCGATCGAGCGAAGCTCGCTGGACGATATTTGCCAGGTCGCCAGGCTGATGCCCGCCTGGTATCCGCCCATTCGCGCTTTCCCAGGTTATGAAGGGGGCGGGAATTCTCGATTTTTGGAGACGCACCATGGGTAGCTAGCAGGACCGTGTGAAGATAGCGTGCGACAACAATGAGGGAGAAAAAAATATAGAGTGGGATTTATGAATTATGAATACGACTCAGAACGTTACAAAAACCGACCATGCAGAGCGTCGAGTCACGGCAAAACCGGTACGGTAGTGCCAAAAATGTCACCTTTATGCGACTGACGAACCTGGGGCATTTTTGTGTGTCACGCGCAAGGCCAGCCAGCCCTTGATTCACGACAAGCAAAATCATGTGTTTAGACCGAGCAAAAGCCCTAATCACGCGTAAAGCCGCTCATTCGCAGCCATCCTGCATGTGAATTATGATTTATAACTTAAATCGCGGACTTACTCAAAGAATTGTTTGCCGGCAATCGACGCCCTCTACATAGTCCTCGTCAACGACAAAGGCACTTGAGGGGTCGGATCAAGCTCCGCATTGCGCACGAGGAGGTAGCGGCTGCTCGCCTTATGGATGAGCTGAACAGTGACCAGGAAACTGTAGTCGGGCTTCTTGCCCTGGTTGCGGTGATCCTTGATGTGTTTGAAGCCTGTCGACCTCGACTTGATAGTGTAGCCGCAAAGACAGCAGTAGAAGCCATCATACTTGAGCATTTCTTGAAAGAAGTCCCGGCCAGAAGCCGCAAGAGGGACGCGGTGCTTGGAGAGGTGCGACACCACGTCCTCGAGCGTCGGCACCAGGACGACACCATGCTTGCAGCCAATCCAGGTGCAGAGGAGGAGGCGTGGATGGTCAAGAAGCGCAAGGTGGATGATCTTGAGCTGCGCCTGCACGCGGTTGTTGATGGGCTGAGCGGAAGCCTCTGGACTTGCAGAGGCCACTGCAGCCTGGTTGGCAGCGGGAACAAGAGCGCTGTCAGGATCATGATTGTTCCCAGCCTAGGTAGAGTCACCTGCCGAGCTTTCTGAGCTGATGAAAGTATCGTCATCTTCTCACATTCTGCGCGTACTTTTAAAGAAGTCAAGTCGCCCGTTTCTCAGATCAGCTCGCTGACGGCCCATGGCCCGCGACCAAGTTGACCTACGAGCCACATGATCGTATAAATCATAAGTAATCCTGATTTGACTGTACAGTTTCCTGACCAATAATTGACCTGTGCAGCATTCCTTTTTGACGCGAGGTGATGTTCCATTTGTTTGGCGGACTGTAGTTTTTACAGCCTTTACAGCCCAAAATCACGAAAACGGTAAGAGCTCGATCGAGCAAACCTGGAAGCTAAGGGATGAACAATCACGAAAGGGCCTGAGTCGGACGCGCTCTTGATCATCATGCAGGGATCCATTAAATTGTGCAGGATGGGGTTTCAGTGGGCTCCGTAGTAGTACGAGTCGAGGGCCATTTTGCAGCTGCTCCAATTCGCACTCGACCAGCTCGAGTAGGTGCATCTCTTTGCTCTCATGCACTCTTGCCGTCAAATCCACAGTGCGATAAGTGTGATGAAGCGATCGACAAAGATTGTCAATATGTGTGTGCTGGACGGTGTGTACGCTGGATGGACGGACGAGGGATTGGCCCTGCTGTGCTGTCGGAGATGCGGCGGGCGTTGGAATAGGCTCGGCAGAGGCTGGGGGCTATGCAGAGTGACGCAGCTGCGTGCGGCGGAGAGTTGGCCGTGCGGGGACGCCAAGACATGTAAAATTCTTAAGCCGGTGAATTTGGCGCCGCTTCGACCCTCGCAAAGTCGCGCGCAGTCGCCCTGACTCGGCTGCCCACCCGTCGCAAGCTGGCTTTGTCGGAGCTTGGCTCGGGGCGTGATGCCTCGACGTCACCCGCGCCCTCTGTGGCAGGTAGGTGCTCGAGCTGCGTGTCGAATTCCGCCGGTATACGCCCGGTCTGAATGGGCGCCTGGCAGCCTGGCACGCCATCCCCACGTCGAACCCCGCTTCGCTGAGCAAGCTGGGCGGAGCAGTGCTGTGCAAAGCCAAGCCTCGAGACCCTGGTGGCCGTCTCGACCTCATGGTCGCCGCACTTTGACTGAGACAGCGTCTTCCAAAGCCCGTGCCACCGAGGCCCATGGGAGAGCACATCTATTCATCTGTCCATCTCCCTACCACTTCCACCGCCACTTCCACACCCATCTCTCTACACTCTCCATAGATAGAAGGTGCTTTCGTCAAGCTCTGCCATTCTTGAATCTGCCAACCGCCCCCAAGCCGCGTCTATTAAACCGCCATGTCCAAGCTTTTACGCAACGGCATCCCACGCACCGAAGATGGCAAGATTGACTTTTCGTGGAAGAACCACTACGGCTTCACGGGCCTCATTGTACTACTCGGCTTCCTCTTTCCGCCGCTCGCGGTGGCTGTGCGATTCGGCATCGGGCGTGACTTTTTCATCAACGTCCTGCTCACGATCTGCGGGATTATTCCGGGCCATTTGCACAACTGGTTCATCCAAAACGTACGCAACAACGACACCAAGGCGCGCACGCCACGCTGGGCCATCCGCTACGGACTCGTCGACGACCGACCGCAGAAGAAGCTCGATAAGAAACGCGCCTGGACGGGCCGCTTCAACGACCGGCTGCCACCTAGCCAGCGCGTGGTGTACGACGACGAGGGCGTGGCGCATGTGGTCGAAGAACCTCAGCCCGACAGCGACATGCGTGGCGTAACGGCACCCTGGAATACACAGCCGCTCCAAGGCCAGAGGACGGGTCTGGTGGAACCGGATCAGTGGATCAACAAGGACCCCTCGCAGCCCGAGATCAACTACAATCACCAACCAGTCGAAAAGAGGTCCAAGCTGGCCAGGTTCTCGCGATCCAAACCCGCCCGCACGCCTGATGCACAGCTCGACAGCGATGCACAGCAGCTAGACCGCTCGCGCCGTCGATCCAGTCTCGCCACAAGCAGCGACGAGAGCTTCATCATCAGTACGCCCGAACAACCTACACGCGCCACGTTCGAATCATCCGCAGCATCCGCCAAGCACCTCCACCAACAGCCTCGCCGCCAAGACGATATTTTCGCCCACGAGTTCTAGACCCACCAGCTCCCCCCTTTGTACTTTTAGCCATCTGATCCATCTCAGCACCCTGGTCGCACGCTCTGCCCTTCTGCCGTCATTCTTCGTGCACGTCGTGGTGAACTGCGAGTCAAAGAGTCCGTTTGTGTGTGTGCGTATATGCATGAGCCAGGATTGTGGCGAGCGAGATTGCTAGGCGGGCGGCCATTCTGGCTGACCCAAGTTCTGCCAAACGCCGTACTCGATGTCGCCCGTGACGCCGAGCTCCTTGAGCGATCCCTTTGGCGTGCCTGCGCCCGGTTTGACTCCTGCGCCCTCCTTGAGTGCCGGGCCCTGATGATTCGGCCACGACGACCTGTCCATGGCCGCCGAGTAACTCAGCAGTGCTGCGCGGATGTAGCACGCGGTCGCCGCTGGCGTGAGATACCTATCGGTCAGCGTGCGCTTGGCATTTGTCGCCACGCGCTTACCTGTGGTCAATCCGGGCCTCCTGAAGTCCGTCACGGCGGAGGCGCTCGCCTCTTCTTCCTGGATGAGCTCGTGCATGGTCGCCGGCAGAGCCTCAAAGTACCTTCCGTCCAATCGGATGATGTTCTGATCCGCCGAGTTGGGTGTGGCGATGAGGGCGGGATGAAAGTGCTGTTCCCACTCGAGCGCGTGCATCACCACGGTGCTCTGGCAGCCAAGGATGAACTTGCTGCGTCCCGAATACGCCACGCCCTCCGAGTGGATGAGGAACTTGTGTCGACAATGCTCTGCAGGCGAGACGATCTTGCCGATACCCGGACCTTCCTCCCAGAAGCTGGTGCGCTTGACGTCGGACCAAGACTCGGTGCCGGGCCCGGTGGCAACGTCGAGCAGCGAAGCACGTACGGCGATGTTGGATCCTTTGAGTGCATCACCTCTCCAGAACGCCGGGTTGAGCTTGTCATGCCAGGGCGTTTCGGCGTTCACCTGCTCGGCATCGCGCCTGAATTCGGGGTACGAGGCAATGCCGGCCTCGGGCCAGCTAGCAAACGAAAAGTCCGGGAACAGATACTGCCCCTCGGTATCGTTGACGCGCTTATCGAGCACCCAGCCTGCGCCCCTACTCGCGGAATCGGTGAATCCATCGAAATCGGCAGTCGAGACCACGAGTTCCGTGCCGTCGATTCGCGCCTTTTCGTCCTCGCTCGCACCCTGGTACGCGGTGTTGAGCAGCTGCATTGTAGATCTTACTCTCGACTGCCAGTCCTTGACCTGGGCGCGCACAAAGATCTGGCCGTGCTTGATGATCAGATGCACGCATCCGTGGCGGCAGTTCTGGGCGGCGTTCTGCACGTTGTCGTACTTGATGCCGCCCTTGTTGCGCCATGCTGCCTCATTGGCCGCGAGCTGCGGATACAGCCTGGAGAACTCGTTGCGGCAACGCGGCTGCTCGAGATGCAGCTCGTTCTGAACGCGCGCGCTCAGCGACGGCTGGCCCGAGCGTGAGCTTTGCGAGGGCAGCTCGTGGTCCGGAAACACTGTAGCGAGCGGTACGAACGAGAAGAGCAGACAGAGACCGACGAAGACGGCAGCGAAGCCTGCCATGGGTGCCCCCTGCGCCGACTGCAGCGTAGAGCTTTTGCGGATGTTGGGGCGCGACGGCATGGTCGCGATGGTGTGCTGCTGCTGCCGGTGATCGAGGTGGTGGTGGTGTGTGGGAGAGGCACGACTCCGGGCCATGGGGAATTTCATTTGCTCCACCGACTGCAGGAGGCGCACCGACGTGCATGCCAAGCCAGCCAACCCGCCAAACAGGCCCACCAACCTGCGGAAATTGGCGATTTTCCGATCCGGCTTTGCAGCTGACGGCGGCTAAGTTGTTATTCAGAAAAACAAATCTCCGCTGCTTGGCGCACGCACCACTACCGCACCTCGCACTGCCAGCATCGATAAGACCGGAGAAGCTGATGCTCTGCGAACAAAGAACTGTCAAACAGCCTTTCGGCTCGCAAGCTTCACCATCGAGCCCACTCCCACTTCGAGACGACAAACAATGCGAATTGCAAATGCGACACAACACAAGCCTGAAATGGTGCTACAACGGAACGTGCCTAGTTTCCTGGTCCGAAAACCGGAATCTGTCAAACAGGCCCTTACTCTCGGCCTCGTCGCCAAGCATGAGCGTCGGGCTTCTCTTGAGTGCCTTTGCCGGCCTGACTGCTGCAACTGGGGTGCTGCTGGCCGCCAACTTGAGCACCGACGGTGACGCCGCTGTGGGCGTCTCGCGCGGGTGCTGCCTCTGCTGCGCCTGCTGCGGCGTCACCGCGCTGTAGCGGAACGCCTCGAGCTTGGACACGCTCGTCTGGAGCACCGGCTTCCGTGCCGCACCTGCACGCACTGCCAATGGCGTGACGGGCTCGGCCTGCACGTCCTCCTCGTCCTCACTCCTGTGCGGCCTCGTCGCCGGCGCGCATGCCTGCGCGGGTGACGGCGAGCTTGGCGCTTCTTCGTCGCCCACGTCACCACGCACCGACGACGTTGCGGGCGACGAGATGAATCCGCTGCCTATCACGCTCTCCGGCGACGAAAATTCGCGCGACTCGGTTCGCATCCTCTTGCTCCCTCGCCCACCGCGCGACGGCGTCTGCGGCACCACCACCGCCACGCTCGACGATGGCATGCTTTCCGACTGTGTCGCCACTGCCACCTCCTGCGTCTCCACCACGAGCGCTTGCGACGCCGCCGTCGCCTGGGGAGGACTGCTGGACCGCACAAAGTCGCGCATGTCATGACACTCTTCGTCCCAGTACCCCGAGTCGTTCGGACCCTTCCGCACCACCGGCGGCGTGAGCTCGCCGCCGAGATGCAGATAGGCATGGTCCGCCTTTGCAGTTTGCGTCGGTGCCGGCGTCGCTTTGGCGAAGAACTTGCTCTGCGTTCCAGAAGCATCTGCCTTGCGGTTGGTATCGACGGCCGCCAACGGTGCCCTCTCCTTCACTCGATCTTCGGCTTTCGGCCTACCGTTCTCCTTGGAGCTGACGCTGGTGCCGACGAAAAAGTTTTTGAGGCTCTGCAAGCCTGCCTCCTTACTGACCGCCTTCTTCTTCGCTGCCGCACCCACCGACGCCCTATAGAAGCCGCCCACGCCCACGCCTGTGCTCGAGCTTTGCAACGTCATAGGTGCTGTGGTACTGCGGTGCAGCCCGTGCGGCACGGCTGACGTGCTCGGTGCCGCAGCAATATTGTTGTCCGAGTTGCTGCGCATGCCCAGCGGCTTGGGCACCCGGTCCACAATCTGCATCCTGGTGATCGGATCAATGACGCCCTCGGCCACGCCTATCGCCACGTCGTCCTGAATGTTTGCGCCGATGAACGGGAGCATGTCGTCGTGCGTTCCGTCGGGCAGCGGAGTGAGCGTAACGAGCCTCTGCGTGCGCGGGTCGAAGACGCGCTGATGGACAAACGTCAGCTCCGCCTTTCGAAACTCCCTGGCGTAGTCGTTGGGCACGCGCAGCTTGCCCTCGAGCCGTACGGCCTGGAGCACCTTGTCGACCGTCTTGTACCTCCTCAGCAGCCGGTGTGCATTCTTGAGGCCCATACCCACGATGCTCGGCAGGTAGTCGCATCCGGAAAGAATGGCCATCTGCCTGAATTCGACCGCGGTCCAGCCGGAGAGTGCCAACTGCCGGTTGGTCCAAAAGCGCTGCTGCAGCATCTCGATGGCATTGCCGGCCTGGTCGAGCTTGAAGAGCACCGTCTTGCATCCGAAGACGAGCAGATCCGAGTCCTCGGTGATGATGCCATCGATTATGCCCTCTGCCTCGAGAAAGGCGAGCTGCGCATCCGCCTCGTACGGCGCCACGACGTAGGGGATGTCTTGCTGCTTGAGCACCTTGATGAGCTGAAACGCCATTTCGGGCGTGATGTCGACGCACTTGGAAAAGAGATCGCGAGCCTGCTGCATGTTTCCCTCGCGTTCCAGCTGGTTGGCACGCTCGAGGTGGTCGTTGCGGCGCTGCTCGCGGTCGTCCTCGGTGCCGCGCTTGGCGGGCAACTTGTCGCCGTCGAATACGAGGTACGGCTTGACGCCAAAATGCTGCAGCATGCGGATGCGGCTCAGTGCGTGTGCGATGTAGCGCGGCGTAGGATCGCCGAGTACAATCTCGCGTGCACAGCCGTAGGCGCCTCTGTGCAGCCACACGTATGCATCCACACCGAGCGTCTTGCCTGCATAGCTCGAGGCATGCACAGGGCGCTGGACGTCTTTGAGCAGGGGAAGCAGGCCCTGGATGCCCATTATAGCGGTCAGTGCTGGTGGCAGAGCAAGGAGGAGGTGCTGGTCATGATCGTGGGTGTGAAGACATCGATATTGGCTTGTGGAGGCCCGAACCAGACCAAACGCGGTCGCGCTGCTGCTGGTGAGCTGCTGCTGTGCTGTTGCTTTGCTGCGTCGCGCGAATTTTGACCGGCTCGAGCCAACCTTTTTGGCCAATTAACACGGGCCGAACCCAACTCGACGCGACTCGCGACTCCGACCCGGGCTCTTCCCGATCCCACCTATTCGATCGGGCGAATGGTGAGTGCCGATGCATTGGCGATCTGGGAAACGAGAAGCCAAAGGTTGAGTGTCTCTGGCAATTGCATATTCGGATCGTGGTCGACATCCACCATCCTTCTCTCATCGTCACATCGACTCACAACGGCCGGACTCCCCAACGTTGCTAGCTTTGCATTGCTCTGCGTCAGGGTCAAGGCCTTCTTCTTCGTCCAAAGATGAAGCTCGTCCGCTTCCTCATGAAGCTCAACAACGAGTCGGTGTCCATCGAGCTCAAAAACGGCACCGTCGTCCACGGCACTGTGACGGGTAAGCATGCTTCTTCCTTGCTTCGTGCTTCAAAGACTCCGACTGACCCTTGATCCTATCTATGCTGATGTAGGCGTGGATATTCAGATGAACACGCACCTCAAGACGGTCAAGATGACCGTGCGCGGTCGGCCCGCGGTGACGCTCGACACGCTTTCGATCCGCGGCAACAACATCCGGTACTGGATCCTGCCAGATGCGCTACCGCTCGACATGCTGCTTGTGGACGATGCACCCAAGCCCAAGGGCAAGCGCAAGGACCCGGCCGCTCGTGGAGCACGCGGAGGTGTCGGCATGGACAGGGGCAGGGGGAGAGGTCGGGGAGGCATGCGTGGCGGACGCGGTCGAGGTCGTTGATCCCCTCGCCAAAGCTCTTCTCGCCATACGCATCTCTGTACTTTTAATGTCTCAATACAAAACACCGTCGTTGCCAACGCAGCTTCACACGCACAGCGCCTCTGTCATCCAGTTTCGATTCCGCATCTTCCTCCCCCAATCTACGCTGAGGCTTGCGACCGAGCAGCAGCCGCATCTCTTGCATGCACTTCATCCATGAGTTCCTGTTCGGACCTCAGGAGATCCTCGGCTCTCTTCGCCGCCTCGGCAGGCACATGGATCGGATAATCCACCCTTGTGATCTGTCCTGATCGCAGCAACAGCGTCATTCTCTTCAGATACCTCTTGCCTTCCACCTCGAATGTCGGGATGTCCAGCGCGGTCGTGAGCTCCTCCTTTTCGTCCGAGATGAGGTCAAAGTTGAGTCCGAGTCGTTGCTTCGCTTCCACCTGCTCGGCGTGGGCTTGTGTGGAGAGGCCAAAGATCTTCAGCTCGGGTTCCTTGGCGAGCAGCTGTGCGAGGTGGGAATTGAGAGCGCCGAGGTGGGGCGTGCATCCGGTGGCACCTGGAATCGAAGACCAGCCTGCAGGCGTGGGTCGGAGCGGAGACGCGGTGGAGGGATAGACAAAGAGCATGATCGGTTGGCGCAGCGACAGCGTGAACAGATCCGCCGTGCCGCTCGTCGTGACCAGGTCGATCAATGCCGGCAGCGGATGCCCCAGCAGGTGGAACGCCGACCGATCCTCAACCCCGTTGGATGCCGTCATTGTCTCGGTATGCGCTAGACTTGATCAAACAGAACAGATGGCGGTAGAGCGCAACATGGACCCTGCCCATCTCGCCTCACCACAAGCCGGCCGAGACCCGCCGCACTCCCCCAGCTGTTCTTCTTTCCCGGGCTCATTCTATTTTGCCGTTTTTTCGGCTGGGCATCGACTTTCCTTCTCACCACATCCAACCATCTTTGTAAGTATCCGCCTACCAATCGACTTTTCCCACCTGCCCTCAACCGGGCTGCGATGCGAATGACGACAATCCAAAACAACTATCATAATCTGTCAATCCTCCGATACCCTGGAACACCAGGCGTACCTGCGGAGAGCTTGTTTAATCATGAATCACGGACGCTCCAACCCGCAAAACCGCAGTCTTTCAGCGCGAATCGTATGCTGACCTTGCTACCGCTTTCGCTCTGCAGTCTCCCTCGTCTTCTATGTCGATGTCCAAGGTGCTGATGTGCGGTGCAATGCAAATATTACTGGACCCGGCCGTGAAGAAAATAGTGTACAGATTACGGACGCGCAAGCTAGAAGCGGATGAGGTAGCTTCCGTTGCTCCTGGTGAGATAGCGCACCCACTTTACGCTCTGGTAGTTGCTCTTTTCGAACACCTTGAGGTAGCGCACGAGCAGGCCGGAGCTGGTGAACATGAGCACCTGGAAGTCGACCTCGATCGGCGGCCGGCTCCACGCCTTTCGCACGGTGGTCGAGCTGAGCTCGGCATCGGCGCCAAAGCTCGCCTCGCCTCCACCCTGGATGCGCGCGATCTTCCACACAATGTGGTTCTCTGCAGGCACGTACTTGGCCTTGCCCAGGCTCACCTGGCACTTGACCGTGGATGCGTTGAGCGGCGTCGGAATGCGCAGCACGACGTTGGTGGCGTTCAACTTGGCGTCAAAGTTGGCCTTGAGGTTGAGCGTGTACTCCACCTTGCTCTTGCTCACCTCTTCGACGATGGCGTGCACTTTGAAGGGGAGGTTGACGTTGGTGGTGGAGCGGTAGCGCATGAGCTCGAACTCGCCGTCTGGAGGGATGAAGGAGATGCTGCGGTCCGTATCGTACTTGGACAGCTTGACGCACTGGTGGAACTGGCAATCGTCGAGCTCGACGGCATCCACCTTTCCGCGGTTCTTGTCGTTCTTTTCGAGCACGAGCTTGTCATTGAGCCCAAACCTGCACTCTGGCATGCCGGTGAGGTAGGCACGCATGAGGATGGCACCGTCGACATCGGCTCGGAGGATGGTGCCCTTGCTGCTCATCAGGAGGTTGACGGTCTCGACGACGTCGACGAATGCCTCGTTCTTCCTGTACTTGACGTCTGCCCTCCTCCAGCTCGTTGCACCTGTTGCCTGGATGGTGATCTTGCTGGAATCCTCCCTGACCGCCTGTTCGGACTTGACGCCTTCGGTGGTGATGTACATCTTGAGCGTGTCGATCTCGGAGTTTTGCGGGTAGCCAAAGTCGAGGATCTCGTCGAGGAGCTCGTAGATGAGGACAAAGTTGTTCTTGACCGCCTCCTCGTCGAACTTGGCGCCAAAGTAGGAGCGGCCGATGCTGATGACGCGGTAGCAGAATTCGAAGACGAGCGCTGCGTTGGCGTTGCACTTTGTGACGGCGACGATGTATAGGTTTTCGTGGCGCACGTGGAAGAAGGAGGTGGAGCCGAGCGTGATGATGGGCGAGCGCACGTCTGGATTGGAGACGACCTGGATGCGGAAGATGTCGGCGATGCTGCGACGCAGGTCGTTGCGGAAGAGACGCGAGATGAGCACCTCGCCCTTTTGGTTGAAGATGAAGAACGCCGAGATCATGGCGGGAGGGCGGTCGTCCCTGGAAGAAGGGGGATTGATGCGACGGTTTATATGCCCCCTGAGGTCGTACAGAGCGAGTGCTCGCTCTCGTGTGTGTCTCACTGCGTGAGAGTGAGCTGTGCGAGACGCATGTACCTGGTCGGAATGAGGTGCGGATGCGCAGAGGGCGGTCGCACAAAGGGGAGCACACCGGGCGTGCTGGTATCTGGTGGTGACGAACAAAGGGGCGCCGAGTCCAGGGAAGGTGGTGGGGGTTAGATTGGTTAGGCTTCGTGGCTGTGGGAAGCTCTCCCTCCCTCTCCACACACACACACACACACACACACACAC